TATTTTCAAAAAAGCACGTACAGTGCTTTTATGCTTACGAGCTAAAGTTCTAGCACAAGAAAGTCAAAGTATATACATTACTTGATACAAACTCTTTTTTTTTTTAAGATCCACTATGATAATGAGAAAGATTTCTGTATATACGCCCAAAGCGGTCAATAATATCAGAATCTGAGAAATCGGCCCAAATCGCCTTACCAATAGGATGCCCCAATGCATTACAAAATTTAGATTTAGCCAATGATCCAATCAAAGGCATAATTGGAACAATAGTCTCAAACTTCTTAATAGCATTTTCAATTATAAATGAATTTTCTAGCATTTGACTGCGTACCATTGAAGGCTTTAGCTGCACACTTGAACGATAACCCAGAAAGTCAAGGGAATGATTGAATAATTGGTTTATATAAATCCTTCCTGGTTGAGACCACAGGTAAAAATAAGATTTCCAAAAATTGATAAAGTAATATTTCCATTTATTCATCAAAAGAAACGTCCCTTTTGAACCAAGAATGGATTTTCCTTGATACCTAACATAATGCATGAAAGGATCTTTGAACAGCCATAAATTCGCTTGAAAAGCCCTGGCAAAGACTTCTGCAAGATGATCTATTTTTCCATAGAAATATATTCGTTCAATAAGGGCTCTAGAAGATGTTGATCGTAAGTGAGAAGATTGGTTACGGAGAAAGAGGAAGCCGGATTCATATTCACATAAATGAGAAGTATATAGGAAGAAGAATAGTCTGTGATTTCTTTTTGAAAAAGAAGAATTGGCTTTCTTTGAATTTGAAGTAATCAGACTATCCCAATTATGAAACTCATGGAGAAAGAATCTTAATAAATGCAAAGAAGAGGCATCTTTTATCCAATAGCGAAGATCCTGAACCAAGATTTCCAGATGGGCTGGGTAAGGTATTAGTATATCTAATACATAATTTAAATGTGAAAAGTTGTCCTCTAAAAAAGAAAATATTGAATGAATTGATCGTAAATTATCGAATTTGACTACCCCTTTCCTTTCTAGGTAAGATATTAATCGCAGAGACAATGGAATTTCCATCGTAAATTATCGGATTTGACTACCCCTTTCCTTTCTAGGTAAGATATTAATCGCAGAGACAATGGAATTTCCATAATGATTGAAGAGACCTCAGACATTACTTGCGAATAAAAATTCTTGTTGTGCCCCAAAAATGGAGTCTGTTTAGAATTATTAACCGAAAGAATCAAATGATTCTACTGATACATTCGATTGATTAAACATTTCACAATTAGTAAGCTGGATTTATTGTCATAACATGCATTTTCCAACAAAATCGATCTAGTTAAACCATGATCATGAGCAAGTACATAAATATACTCCTGAAAGATAAGTGGATATAAGAAGTGGTGTTGTTGAGATCTATCTAGCCCTAAATAGCTTTGGAATTTCTCCATTTGAAATTCTATTTAAATGAAAGGTAGAAGATTTTGGGGGTTATCAAATGATACATAGTGCGATACAGTCAAAACAAGGTATTATAGTACAAACCGAATAGATACCTCAAATACAGATAAACTTATCAACAGATTCTCTATCCTCTCTTTTTCCATTTCAATTTCAATATTGATGTTCGTTTTCATTATAGGATAACAAGATGATTAGAAATCCTTTACTTTTTTTCAACCCAATCGCTCTTTTGATTTTGGAAATTTTTTATCAATATATTGTTTCTTATACACACACATCTCCATTATGGAATGGAGAATGGTAATATTTAGGATTCATTAAAAAATCAAGAATACATTCCTGGGAGAAAGCCTTCCCGTATGGGGCACTAATATTTTTTTTAACGTCTAATTAGATCAGGTAATCATTCAAATTAAGAACGGAAGCTCGTTGCTTTTTTAACGTCTAATTAGTGAAGTGGCCATTACTTCCAGGAATCAATATACGTTTTTGTAAATAAAAAAAATCATGGATTTACAGTAATTAAAGTTATAGTTTCTTTATGTTTGATTAGAGCTTGTAGCTACAAGAATATGAGGAAGCTATACAACTGATGGATGTCCTTTTTTGGAAACAATAAGAGTGAATATGATCAAAAAGTTTAGAATTAGTATGTATAAACAAATGGAATGAAATAGATTTAAAGAACATAAATTTGTATGTATGTTGTTTTTCACCTTGGTTGCTTCTCAAACACAATAAACCCTAATTAATGTCCCATGTTTGGATGTTGTTGGTATGTTTGCAGCCAATGGGGATCTATGAGCATCTATCTGCATTATTAACAAATCATGATTTCAAAATATTTTGGAATTAAGTGCATCAATGTAGATATAGATATCTGGTGATAAAATGTACTCCAAATCTTGAAAAATAATACATGTAGATATAGATATAGATATCTGATGATTAAATGTACTTAAAATCTTGAAAAATAATACATGTAGTGACCAAGGGTAGATATCTACACATGAAATCAAACATGGGTGTCTCAAATCATATGCTTTGACAAAATACTAACTGATTTTGAAATCCACAAAGTCAAAAAAACTTCAAATGATGAGGAGGATGCGGAGGGCATTTTTGTCTTTTACTTAGAAAGATCAAGTGTCATATCCCAATTCGCTAATTAAAAAGTACACCTTTTATAGCAAATAAAGTAAGATTAGTAAGATGATATAAGATTAAAATAAAATTATAGAAATTGTATTTTGATCATATTTTAGAAATAGCCATCGTATCTTGTTTTTACCGTTAGATTACTTTTTTACCTGTTAAAATCTCAAACATGTGAACATTTGTCGGTTTCTTGTCCTATTTTGTTAGAAAAAAAAAAACAAAAGAACAAAAAAACAAAAAAGCAGTGTGCATGAACCCAAAATACAAGGACTTTTTTTTTAAACCAAAAACCTTCTCTTAGTGACAACACTTTATGCGGACAGTATGTAAGGAAATTTATTCTTAATGCAAACACAAAGTCTTAGTAAGTGAACCATAAAGGTGGTAACTTTATACATTGTTTAAGTTTTTCACTTCTTTTTCATTTTCATCGGTTATAATTTCAATAGTTTAAAAAAAAAAAAAAAAAAAAAAAAAAAAAAAGTCTTTGTTGATACAACACTTTCTCCAAACAGAAATCATTTATCTATACAGCACTAAATTGAAAATAAAAAGAAAATAAGCAACAATATCCGAATCTAATGCACATCAAACTTATCACTCATAACAAATGGATCTAAGTGGATCTAAGATCAAGATTTACCTCTTTATATTGACCACTTGTTTTTAACATTTCAGCCCACCCAGATCACACCATGTGGCATATCCCAATTGAAATTTGTTTTCATCATCAGATGTATGTATACTTCATTTCAGGAACATCCACACACTTTACCTCTAAAACAAGAGGAATAGCATACATCAATATTGGTTTAAATGTAAGAAATATCAATCTACTTTTATTGATTTGTGTATTACAGCATTTCCAATTATAGCAATGTACTTTGAAAAATCTGCATAGAATTTTCATAATGTAAAATGCCCTTATAAGAAAAAAGTTCAAAATTACAATACTCAAAGTACAATGTCACAATAAGAAAAAAAATTGAAGTACAATGGTATAATTGGGTAGTGTTTTCAAAGCATAATGCCCTAATAAGAAAAAAGATGAAACTAAAATGCTATCGACATCTAAAAGTACAAGGACCTAATAAGAAAATAGCTAAAAGTACTATGCTATAATAATTGGTTAAATTTTTATACGTGCAGAGTCATAATAAGAAAAAGTTGAAAGCACAATAGTGAAATAGACAGAAATGAAACTAGGATGCTGTAAAACACAAAAGAAGGAAAGCAACTTGTTATTTATTGCATTTACCCCCTAAAAATAACTTAGACTTTAAGAAAATCCAAGACATCAAGAGGCATAGGTAAGACTAAGTTTTTCTTTTTATGTTATTAAATACTAATGTGCCCCACAAGTTTCTTTTATATCTTTTATTAAATACCCTGTATGTAGGGTTGAAATGTAAAATTATTTTCTTTGTAATCTTATATTCAATAGACCGATTTCAATTCAAAAAAATAAACGATAAAGACAAAGAGTTTTTTTATGGATGACTACAACAAGCTCTAAACATTCTTATGGGGCTAAATGCAATACAGCTTCATCTTTTTCTGAAGATAATAAATAAAACACAAGTTTTAGGAACAGAGGGGTATTTCTGGAAATACACAAACAGTGTGCCTTTTAACAATAACAAAAAAAATAATAATAAACTAAATAAGAACATAAAAGACATGAGGGGCTTTATAGTGTCAAGGGTAAAAACCTACACTTTGATTCTCAGGGGCATCTTTTTTTCATTTTCTTTATCATAAGTTGTTTATTTAGTTTCTAAAACCTTTTCTTGTTGCAGAGTAATGAATAAAATTCATCAACAGAAATGATATCCATCATGTGTATGGTTGACAGAAAATGGAAAGGGTTTCGGTTCCACATTTTAGTTATTTTCTTTTTGAAGAATGACAGGATTGCTATTCACTGAAAAAAAATTATTTATTTATGAAACAGTAACTAACCATTAAAATAAAGTAATAAGACATGAATAGAAATAAATGAAACTGGGATGCTATAGAACACAAAGAAATGAAAGCAAGTTGTTTTTTTTATTGCATTTAGCCCTAAAAATAACTTACACTTAAAGAAAATTCTAGTTTCATTTTTTTTAGTATATACATAGGAGAGGCATTCTTGCCTGAAAGATAATATCACATAGATTACCATGTAGGAAAAAAGGAATAACTGGAAAAATAAAAAGATTCAACTTTGGTAGAATTGAAAAGAAAAGAAAAGGAATAAGTGAATAAGAAATAGAAAGAGCACCAATTCATATGGAAAATAAATCGGTAATCAAAATGGCAGAAATCATGAAAGATTGATTGACTCATGTTATTAGAGATGTTTAAGTATATTATCATGATAACAAGACAGAGTAGTTACAATAGTTATAATTATATTAAACAATGAAAAAAATTACCTCCTCAGTCAGGTGTTTTCCTCAGAGTATGCATTCATCAACTTCTTTTACAAGTCACACTTTCCAACATATGCTTCATTGCCACATCAACCCCTACCTGGGTCTGAAGAGGGTAATTACGTAATTTCAAGCAATTTGGTGTATTATATCCTGTATAAAAATGGACATGATCCTTAATATGACTCCATGTTGTTCCTTTAAAAACAGATAGTGTTTTATCTGAAACAAAAAGGCGAAACTTGTCAGAAGAACGTAAAAGCACACAAACTTAGAAAAAAGGGTAAAATACACTTTTGGTCCCTGATGAATTGACGTGTAACATTTCTGGTCCCTAGTCCAAGTAAGAATAGCTGATTATCGTAATCTTGGTCCCAAAAAGATTGTCATTTTCATTTGAGAAATAATAAAATAAAACAATAAAAACTTTATAAACCTCAAAGAAGGACCAGAACTGAAAAAATCAGCTACACTCAGGGACCAAAAATGCAATATTACTCAAAAAAGATAGATGAATCATTCATATATTGTTATATTTGGTAATGAAAATTATCTATTAAGTACGAATAGTAAAACAAAATTATCAATTAACAAGTATAAAGATATGATCCAGTAACAAAAATTACCACCAGAAAGAATGAGATGATATAAACCATACTTTCTTAAAATAATTGGTTTGGCTAAAAAGGTAATATAAAGATGCTTGTTGTTTATTAGCAAAATTTTCATATATAAATATAATATTTTCATTGACCACTTGCTTTTAACATTTCAGCCCCTCTTTTTAACATTTTCCTTCCCTGATGTCCCAATTCCCTAAATAAAAGCACAAATTTTTTATTTTAATATTTAAATAAATAAAAGAATCGACTAAATAACAAACATCTTTTTGAAAAGATATACCAGGTGTACAGATAAGTGCTGAGGGTGTTTTCCAAAAATTCAATATCTTTTTTTGATTGATTCAACATCAAGTATGTTAATCCCATCAAGATAATGAATAGACACAGGTTTTAGGAACAGAGGGGTATTTCTGGAAATACACAAATAGGGTCATACACTCATAGCTATAGTTACATGTACTCCTGCATATCGTTTCCATGCTTTGTCAGCTTGTAATCAGTGGATAGAAGGTGGTAATTTGATAAAGCAATTTCATAATAACCCAACACAACACCCTTATTAATGAAACTAAAAGTGTACCTTTAAACATCAACAGAAAAACTAAATAAGAACATAAAAATCATCAAGTGTTTTTATAGTGTTAAGATTAAAAACATACACCTTGATTCTTGGAAGCGTCTTCTTTTCTTTTTTTTCCACCATAAGTTAGTTGTTTATTTGGTTTCTAAAACCTTTTCTTGTTTCAGAGTAATTAATGTCATAATAATGCAATGGGACTTGTGGTTCAAATAACTGATTTTGAAATCAACAAAGTTAAAAATTTGGGGTTATGTTATGATAGACCCTTTTTGAATCTATCGTATATCCCAGGCATTGTAAAGCTTACACTAACAAAAATTCTTGATAATATTCATAAAGATAGTTTCTCACAATTCTAGAGGTGAGAGTCTCTCCAAAAGAAGAACAATGTTCTCTTACAAATTAATTCTTAGCTACTGACTCTCTAAAAACAAAGGACAATAAATACTATCACTAGAGATAAGACAAAAGGGAATCACAACCAACATAATCAGGTGCTCTTCCCACTAACAAAACAGCCAATAACAACCATAATACCATAAAAGACCATTCTACCCCTGGCCAAAAGATAACCGAAATGTGGGGGCTTATCATGTTATTTGACTGAAGTGAAATTTTTGAAGATTTTTTCATCATTCCATGATAAAAATTAGCCTCACAACACAGTGTGAGAATGCACAAAGCCATGAAAGAAATTGATTAAAAAGAATAAACACATGTATATGTTAAAGAGAAGAAAAACAAGTATTTTGGTAAATGTTAGAATCTGAAATACATTCTCAAAACCCATCCAAACATGCAAAACATTATTAAATGATCAGCAAAATCAAAGAAACACATTCCGAAATAAGCCTACCAGACATTGTCAAAATCACATTTTACAAAGAGAAAAAAAAAAACCAATGAAAAGATAGAGAAGAAAACCACAATGAAATGATCAACAAAGCTACAGAAAAACCATGCAACAAAGGAATAATTTCCACTTAAGATAAGAAAAGATTCAGTTTTGGTAGACTTGAAAAGAAAATAAATAAATAAGTGAATAAGAAATAGAAACCTTTGTAACAACATCATCTGGTTAAGATTTTAATCAAATCCTTGTTCTTTATACCTCAGCATTGTAACATGTGATAAATGTTGTGAAGATGTAAACAGATAAATTATTTATAGCTCAACATTTGGTTGTAGAGAACATCTGATGCAATTGAACTTGTTTAGTACCCTGTATGTAGGGTTGAAGTGTATAATTCGTTTCTTTGTAATCTTATATTCAAAAAACCAATTTCAATTCAAAAAATTAAACAAAAAAGACAAACAGTTTTTTATGGTGGACTACAACAAGCTCTAAACATTCTTATAGGGCTAAATGCAATACAACTTCATTTTTTCCTGAAGATAATTAATAAAACAAGTTATAGGAACAGAGGGGTATTTCTGGAAATACACAAACCGAGTCTATGATAACAAGGCAGAGTAGTTACAATTATATTAAACAATGAAAAAAAAGTAGGTACAATTGTTAAAAATGAAAAAAAAAAAAAAAAAAATTACCTCCTCAGTCAGGAGCTTTCCTCAGAGTATGCATTCATCAACTTTTTTTACAAGCCACACTTTCCAATATATATTAGGCTTCATTGCCATATCAACCCTTACCTGTGTCCAAAGAGGGTAATAACTTAATTTCAAAACAATTTGGTGTATTATATCAAACTTTAATGACTCCATGATGTTCCCTTAAAAACAAAAATAAAACATTTCTATCTGTACACATCGCATGTTTTATCTGATACAAAAAGGCAAAAAACTTATCAGAAGGACGTAAAGCATGCAAACTTAAAAAAGAAAAGAAAAATACACTTTTGGTCCCTACACTCAGGCACTAAAAATGTAATATTACTCTAAAAAGATGGATGAATCATTCATTAATCACATATTGTTACAGAATCATTGATATTTGATAGTGAAAATCATCGATTAAGTACGAATAGTAAAACAAAATTATCTATTAAAAAGTACTAACATATGACTCAGTTAAAAAAATTAAAACCTGAAAGAATGAGATGTTATAAACCATACTTTCTTAACATAAAGATGCTTGTTGTTTACTAGCAAAATTTTCATATATACATATAATATTTTCATTGATAAATAAGAAATGATTATTACCTCACTAGAAACACAAAAGTAAACACCATCCTCTCTTTATATTGACCACTTGCTTTTAACATTTCAGCCCCTCCTTTTAACATTTTCCTTCCCTGATGTCCCAATTCTCTAAATAAAAGCACATTTTTTATTTTAAAATTTAAATAAAAGAATTGACTGAATAACAAATATCTTTTTGTAAAGAATTACCAGGTGTACAGATAAGTGCTGAGGGTGTTTTCCAAATATTCAATATCTTTTTTTGATTGATTCAACCTCAAGTATGTTAACCCCATCAAGATAATGAATAGACAAAGGTTTTAGGAACAGAGGGGTATTTCTGGAAATACACAAACAGGGTCATAGACTCATAACTATAGATACCTGTACACCTACATATCATTTCCATGAAGGCAAATCACCCAACAACCTTCTTTGATTCTCAGGGGCTTCTTTTTTACTTTTCTCTATCATAAGTTGTTTGTTTAGTTTCTAAAACCTTTTCTTGTTGCAGAGTAATGAATGGAATTTGTCAAAGTAATTGAAATCCATCATGTGCATGGTTGACATAAAATGGAATGGATTTCAATTCCACATTCTAGTGATTTTCTTTTTGAAGAATGACAGGATTGCTATTTACTGAAAATATATTTTATTTATGAAACATATACTAGAGTCTAGACATTAAAATAAAGTAATATGACATTAATAGAAAAAAAAAATATTGAAACTAGGATGTTATAAAACACAAAGAAATGAAAACAAGTTTTTATTCATTGCATTTAGCCTTAAAAATAACTTCAACTTTAAGAAAATCTAGGAGACAAGGGTGATGGCCAAGTTTATCTTTTATTTTAGTATATACATAGGAGATGCATTCTTGCCTGAAAGATAATATCACACAGATTATATTCCTTGAAGTATTGTATAAAGATTTCTAAATTGTTACCTTTATTTAAGCAATGCAGCATTAAACCGTCTTTCTTTATGCATTCATAACACTGCAATAACCACACACCTAATTCAGCATCAATAAGCCTTACTGATTATAAAATACATAAATTTTTCATATACTGAAGAACACAGTAGGTTGAACTCGGTTCCGCCATGTCATCCAACAATTTCAAGTGTTCCTACACAAATGAAAAATCCAGTGTCCATTAAGTAAAAAATAAACAACAGTTTTGCCCCGATGTGATTGTGTATAACAAATTTTTTTATCATAAATGTAATTTGGAATGAAAATATAATAAGGTTTCCATTAGAAAGAACAATTGGCATTTACTTATACGTTCAATGGATACAACTTGATTTCAAAACTTAATCAGGTTTCCATAGAAAAGTACTACCAGCCCCCTTACCATGTAGGAAAAAGAATAAGTGGAATGAAAAGATTCAACATATTGTCCCAGTTGTATATCATATTGTAGCAACAAAACATCATCTGGTTTTGGTGGACAAAAAGAGCACCAATTCATATGGAAAAAAAATCAGTAATCAAAATGGCAGAAATCATGAAAGATTGATTGACTCATGTAATTGTTTAAAATGAAAAAATATTACCTCCTCAGTAATTTCTATCAGAGTGCATTCATCAACTTCTTCTACAAGCCACACTTTCCAACATATATTATGCTTCATTGACACATCAACCCTTCCAAGAAAAGCATACCACTTGTGTCCGAAGAGGGTAATAATGTAATTTCTAAACAATTTGGTGTATAATTTATATCAAACTTTAATAACTCATTTACAACTAACTTACTATCCTGTATAAAAATGGACATGATCCTGAATATGAATCCATGTTGTTCCTTTAAAAACAGATAGTGTGTTTCTTTTTGTATGCATGAATCGCATGTTTTATCTGAAACAAAAAGGCGAAACTTGTCAGAAGAAACATAAAGCACACAAACTTAGAAAGAAGAGTAAAATACACTTTTTGTCCCTTATTACAGCTGCTTTATGAATTTTTGACGTGTGACATTTCTGGGCCTGTTCCAAGTAAGAATAGCTGAATATTGTATATTTAGTCCTAAAAAGATTGTCATTTTACTTTGAACAAGAATAAAAAAACATTACAAACCTCAAAGAAGGACCAAAACTGAAGAAATCAGCTACACTCAGGGACCAAAAATGTAATATTACTTTAAAAAGCATTAACAGGTGTAGTAAATAAGTGCTGAGGGTGTTCTCCAAATATTCAACATCTTTTTTTGATTGATTCAACATCAGGTATGTTAATCCCATCAAGATAATAAATAGACACGGGGATTAGGAACAGAAGGGTATTTCTGGAAATACACAAACAGTGTCATACACTCATAGCTATAGCTACTTGTACACCTGCATATCGTTTCCAAGTTTTGTCAGCTTGTGATCAGTGGATAGAAGGCAGTAATTTGATAAAGCAATTTCAGAATCACCCACACACTGACACCCTAAGAACATAAAAAGCATCAAGTGTTTTATAGTGTTAAGGGTAAAAACGAACATGTTTTATAGCGATTAATGTAATACTAATGTAAGGGAACTTGTGGTTCAAAGAATACTTTTAAAATAAATGGAATTTGTCGATGGAATTGGAATTTGCCATAAGCATGGTTGACAGGAAATGGAAAGGATTCAATTCCGTTCATTCTATGAAACAGTTACTAAACATTAAAATAAAGTAATATGACATTTTAAAGCAACTTATGAAGAAAAAAAATAATTAATAATACAATAATTAACTATAGAGTTGTATCAAGATTCAAAAAATAATATTTGGTTTGTAACTTGTAAATATGAATTTAGTCTTTTTAACGAAGAAATGAATAATAGAATTTTCATTCTTCCATTTTATCAAACAAACCTTTTGAATACAGATTTTAGGAGAATTTGATAGAATCCATTTTGTCAACCAAATTTGTAACTGAACTTCAAAATTCTATGGAATCCATGAACCAAACACATCCTATGTTGCTCTTAGAATTGAAATAGAAAAAAATACATGAAAGAAAAACAACATGCTGATTTAGAGTATTATTCATTTTTCAAAATTCTAAATCCTTCAACAGTTAAAACTGAGAAAAGTTAAAAGAGTTTACAGTTATCAAAAGATATACTATTATGTAGTCTTAAATTAAATTAATTTTTTTTTTCAGAAAGAGCCTCATCCACATCCTCTTTTGTTGGGTAAAGGGTCAAAAAAATTCAAGTCATTCAAGTTTTACTTAATGAAAAGATGGAAACAAAACTGTATCACATGAAAAGCATTTACATAAAATTCCCATGGATTTGGTTCATGATCAACATCTTCCAAGTGTTGTCTCCCATTTCAGCATACTCATTATAATTAATGCCATGTAAATTAAATGGGAGAATGACCAATAATAAACTTTAATAACTTACATGTAACATGATGATCAAAAGCTTCATGGTCTGAAGAAATAAATTAGCACAAGTTTCTCCTTAACCTGCTTAAAATTGTTACTTGCTACCAAAAGAATTTACCATTTCAATTAGCTTCTTTCAATTTCTCCTTAATCTGCTTTAACACCCGAAGAAAATTAGAATATTAGAAAAATAAGGTACTATGAACATGTATACTTCTGATACAGAATGCTATAAACATCTAAAATTATAAGGACCTAATAAGAAAATAGCTAAAAGTACTATGCTATAATTGGGTAAACTTTTCAAAGTGTAATTTGTTGATAAGAAAAAGTTGAAAGTACAATACTAAAATAGAAAGAAATGAAACACAAAGGAATGAAAGCAACTTATTATTTATTACATTTATACCTAAAAAAAACTTATACTTTAAGAAAATCCATGAAATCAGTAGACAGGAATGTCCAAGTTTTTCTTTTATTTTATTAAATACGAATCTGTCCCCCAAACGAGATGCATTTTTTGCCTAATAGATATAAAAGGAAAGATGCCCTTGTGTTGAACAATATTTGGTAAATTGTTACCTTGAAGTAATGCAGCATTAAACAATCATTCTCTCAAACCACCATATGACTTCACTGCATTCATAACCACACACCGAACTGAGCATCAATAAGCCTTACTGATTATAGAAAACATAAAGAGTTTGAAAAACCCATCATATCATGATATATTACTAATGTTATATAATCATGGAAGACAGTAGAGCAGAATAGGTCTCAATTCCTACATGAATGAAAATACAGTAACCAAGTCATAAAGAAACAACAGTTTTGTCGAGATGTATTTTAATTAGAACTTGTGTTCTTTAATCTTGGAATCTCAGAAATAGGAAGAGAGGTAATGACATAAACAAGCCCATAAAAAATCACAACATCTCTTGGAAGTATCCTCATTTGATTAAGATGTTAAGCATTTGACCTTATGCCTCAAAAATCAAATTTCAATCTCTAAAATCCTGCAGTAAAAGATTATAAACAAAAGCATTTGACCTTGTTCCATGTTTCTGTTGACTTTTGTGGGTCAGATTTTTGCCATTTCTTCACAGCACCAACCATAGATGGTGTTGATGATCCTCCACTCCTGGGTTCTCCCAATACCTTACAAAAAAAATCACAAAATCATTAAAATACAAAAAATAAAAACTAAAAGATTGTAATTATTGTTGTTGTTAGCATATTCACCAAATTCATTAATGGTGGCAAGGAGAATTTAGTCCTTTCATGATCCCACTTTCCTTTCAACACTTCACCGATCACTTCATCTAATGGTGTGCTACACACAGCTTCCTGTAATCATAAAAAAATATAGTGTCTAATTGACTAATTCAATAACATTGAAATATTATAAAGGTTTTTTTTTCACATTAAGCCCTGTATGGGTAAAGTAGTTGAAGGGGTAATGATGTTTGTCTAACTGTGCACATTAAGTGCTTAACCGATTAAGCCCATTAAGTCAAAAAGAAACATCCCTAAAGTCTAATGTGTGTGTGTGTGAGAGAGAGAGAGAGAGAGAGATACCTGAGCTGAGGAAATGATTTTTGGTGAAAAGCGGACATAACGATGGCTTCCATAAACAGCAGAACTAACATCAAAACACTGCCAACTTTCCCTTGAGCAATGCAGTGAGCAGTTTGAGCCGGAATCTCACACAGTATAAGTAAGCGAAAAACCTACGGATAACCTGTGTTTTAACCAGTCCTTTGTCACTTGCTTGAATGAATATATATATATATATATATATATATATATAACATTTTTCAAAAAAAACTAGCACTTGGCTACATGGCTAAAATAGCTAGAAAGTATATTGCTATTTGACCTGTACATGAATGCAAACACAACTTCATCTTTTTTTTTTGTATCATCTGCATATCACACAATGAGATTTAGCCGAAAGCTCTTTAGGATCTATGACATGAACAACCCAACCAATTGTGTTATCAGTCTTCAAACTTTCAAACAGCTCCTCTCTTTTCTCTTCTTTCAAAGTTTTTGAATCTGCATAAAACAAAGAAGAGGCTCTTTTGAAGGTGAAAATTAAAAGAAAAAAGAGGTGTATCACACATTCACACAACTTATGGAAGAAAAGAAGCCTTAATCATTTAATGTGCTGTATAATCTTTAAGTAACATAGTAGATGTACAAAGGAAATTAGGAATCAGTGAAATAATTCATCTACCATAATGTATTGAGAGGAGAGAGAACGGTTTAATAACAATCTTATTCTGTGAACTGTGAAGAAGAAGAAGAAGGAATTGAAGAAAAGCGAGAGAAATAGTATTGGACAAGGAGGGTGGTGAGCGGTAATCAAAGCAGATAAGAACACAAAAGAAATAGCCGTGTTGTAAGGCAGTTTGTGTTTCACTGAGAAATAGAAGTTTCAGTGGCAAAATAAGAAAGCCAACAAACTTCCGTGTCCAAATATGAAAGGGAAAAAAAGTTACTGTTCATCAAGTTTTTAAGGATTAATAGTATATATATATAATATTTGAAGTACATTCTATTTCAGAATGAACCCAAATTAACTTCAAATAATTTTAAATTTAAAGCACATCAGTGTAGATATCTACACATGAAATGAAACATGGGTCCGTTTCCAAAAAAAAAATGAAACATGGGTTTCTCAAATCATATGCTTTGACAAAATAATAATTGAAATCAACAAAGTCAAAATTTTGGAGTCATGTTATTTGACTCAAGTGAAATTTTTGAAGATTTTTACATCATTCCATGATAATAATTAACCTCAAATCACAGTGTGAGAATCCCACAAAGCCCTGAAAGAAATTGATTAAAAAGAACAAATAAGAAATGTGATAATACATGGATATGTTAATGAGAAGAAAAAAAAAAGTATTGGTCTGATTTGGTAAATGTTAGAATCTGAAATACATTCTCAAAACCCATTCAAACATGCAAAATATTATCAATTGAATAAATAAATAAAAATAATCAACAAAAACCATGTAACAAAGGAATAATTTCCACTTAAGAGTTTATTATTATCAATAGATAATAAAATTATTCTTTTTTTTTTCAGAAAGAACCTCATCCACATCTTCTTTTGTTGGGTAAAGGGTCAAAAAAATTCAAGTTTTACTTAATGAAAAGATGGAAACAAAACTGTATCACCATGAAAAGCACTTACATAAAATTTCCATGGATTTGGTTCATGATCAACATCTTCCAAGTGTTGTTTCTCATTTCTGCATACTCATTATAATTAATGCCATGTAATTTAAATGGGAGAATGAGCAATAATACACTTTAATAACTTACATGTAACATGATGATCAAAAGCTTCATGGTCTGAAAAGAATACACACACCACGTAAATAAATAATTTAAAAATGACAAAATTTAAACTCTTAGAACTGTGTGTAACTTTCAGACAGTATAATTAAGTGAAAAGCTTACAGATAACTTCTTTTACCCTTTCCTCTGTCACCTACTTGAATGAAAAAAAAAATAAAAAATTATACAATATTTGGTTGACAATCAACACACCAAATTCATCCCAACTTAATTAAACAGAAAACACACAACTTTATATGCAACTTTTAGTTAGAACCAAATAACACTTCTATCTCTTTCTAATTGAGTTAATAATACAAACATTAAATTATCTTTCCCTGATTGAATCTCTAAAAGCTCAATAAGTTGTTTAATATTTTAATTTGGCTTGTGAATTTCTCTACATAATTTGATCCAATAACATTTTCACCCTCAAAACAAAGCAAAACAACTCTTTAACTTAATCAAAACATTTCATCAAACACCTAAAGTGCACAGAAAAACAATCTACAACTTAACAAAACTTTTTTAGGTTTTCAAAACTATCAAAGTTTTACTAACAAAACATTACCACTTGCTTGACCAATCATCTTTTTTTTGTTTGTTCAACAAGAAGTATGTTTATCCCATCATTTCATGAAGAAATAAATAAGCACAGGTTTTAGAAGCAGAGGGATATTTCTGGAAAAACACAAACAGGTTCATAGACTCATAGCTACCTGTACACCTGCATATCGTTTCCATGAAGACAAATCACCCAAAACCCTTATTTAAGATTCAATGGAAGTAAAAGAGTACCTTTAAACAATAACATGAAAACTAAATAAGAACATTAAAAGCATGAAGGGCTTTACAGTATAAGGGTAAAAACATACACCTTGATTCTCAAGTGTATCTTCTTTTCTTTTTCTCCACCATATAAGTTCTTTTTTTGGTTTCTAAAACCTTTTCTTGTTCAGAGTAATGAATGGAATTTGTCAAAGGAATTGGAATCTGTCATGTGTATGGTTGACAACAAATGAAAATGATTTCGATTGCAAATCTATCAAAAGAATTAAAATGATAATTATGCTAAATGACCAAAACACCCTTTAGTGATTTCTTTATATAAAATGATAAGATAGCTACTTACCGAAAAAAAGATTTTATTCATGAAACAATTATTAAACGACCCAAAAAAATCATCGAACCACAAAAGATATTATCAAATGATCACCAAAACCACAGACACACATTCTGAAACAAGGCTATCAGACCCGCTTAATCAAGATTTTACAGAAAAAACAAAAAACCTAATAACGAGATAGAGAAGGAAACCCTAAAACCGATCGATAAAACTACAGAAAAAAAAAAAATTATGTAGATTCCTTCTGTTTTAATGTTGCAATACAACTTGTGCAGCAGTGCAGTTAGAAAACCAGATTTTACAGATAAAAAAAAACCCGCTAATCAGAAAAATAAAAAGAATTAAAAAAAAAAAAAAAGCATCTAAACTTCGATCTTTTTTTGACCATATATACAGAGAAAATTTCAACTCGAAATTAGAGAAAAACCCTAGAGAACTAAAATAAACCGGAGAAGAGAAAATGATAAGAATGAAAACTTACAATGATGTTGATAATTTCTTTGAATTGTAGACATGTTTGGGTCTCAGGGGAGCGGAATCACAGAGATGGGGATGAATCTCCGGCTGTTTTTGGAGAGCATTGAGCGAATGAGTGGAGAGTGGAAGATGGAAGAAGGTTATATTAAGCGCCAATACACCGACCCAAACCTTCTGACTTCCGCTTCCAACGGCTCTTTTATATAATCTTTCCAAAATTAATATCCTATGCCATCACACTGTGGGGGTAAATTACACGGAAACCTTTAGTCCAATTATTAAACCGACCACTATGCATATGTAGTGCACCCCCCATTGCAGTTCACCTATCAGAGAAGGAGACACAAAAAGATTCCCACGTCTGTGGGGACCAGAAATACCCACGATGGCAGTACCAGGTTGGTGGGACAGCAGGGGTAAATTGGGAAATAAGACAGATCCTCTGTTATGGAGTCTTTTTAAGGAAGAGTCCCTCTCAGTTAAAGACAGGCAGAATATTAGAAGTTTCTTTTCCTTTTGGGAGACCATAGCATCTCGAATAGCTATATCTTATTGTTAAATTCCTCATTTCTCGTTGTTCTTGTTATGAATTGGAATACCATATAGAGGCTGCCATTGTTTCATTGATAGATTGATAATTTGTGTGTTGTGTTCATAACAGCTTACTATGCTCAGTCTAGCAGTATCCAACTCACTGTCGATACATCAATTAGGTGTTAAGAGTGTTTTTTTACATGACAACCTTGACCTTGACTTTGACTTTGACCATGATCATCAGCAAGAGTTAGGAAGTTGTTTCCCGGGCAAATCTTATCACAAAAGAGAATTTTTCTAAAACTTGAATGGAAAGATCTCGGGCAGGGTCCTCTGCATATTGTTTTGCTGCCCGCTGCCCGAATGATTGTCTTCTGATGTAGTAACTGTATCAAGTCTTTCCTGAATGAAGATGAAGGGATTCAAATTGCAGAAAGACAGAAAGTTATTCACAAAAAATATATTCACGTCTTCTAATCATCTGAAGCAAATAATGGCATGTTATAAGCAACAATAAACTTTAAATATATCAGATATCAGACGCAATTTTTTTAAGGAAACAGATGAATTTGTTGTGGTTTTAACATGGAAATGAAAAAGGTGAAGAAAAATGGTCATGTTCAAATATAAAATATTTAACATCTGTGTTGATAAGTTGACAACACATGCATGGACCAAAAACTTTATGAATCCATGAAATGAAATCCAAAATTTCAAAAAATATTCCTTTTTAGAGAATCTTTTCAAACACATTTTGACACCATGAAATGAGTAGCATATTTTCAAAAGGATTCTATTTTTAATGGTTTATGGTTTAGTTCTTCAACATATGTGACAATAGCTTGTAAGGAAAGACATAAACTAAGCTATTGGAAAATGTGTAAGTTAACAGTTTTTGTTTAATGAAGTTAGTGATAATCTCATGTGGCAAAACAAAAAGGTTATCGACCTTCTCACCCATCACTCCTACTTTCCAGCCAAAATTTGATATTTTTGGACAAATTTAATACGTTAAAAATCAACGTCATATTAGTATAGTGTCCATTACTTCCAGGAATCATTATACGTTTTTCCAAACAAAAAAAATCATGAGTAACAAAAGCTGTAGTTTCTTCACCTTTGATCAGAGCTTGTAGCTACAAGAATACCAGGAAGCTATACAGTTGATGGATATGTGAAACTATAAGACTGAATATGATCAAAAAATTTGGAATTAGTATAATAAACAAATGGAATGAAATAGATTTAAAGAACCAAAGAACATAAATTTCTGAATATATATTCTATTTTACCTTGGTAACTCCTAATTAATGAATGTCCCCTGCTAGGATGTTTTGCTATGCGTGCACTGCAGCCAATGGTGATCTATGAGCATCTATCTGCATTAATAATGAAAGATTATTTCAGAACATTTTGGGAATTCAATGCATCAGTGCAGAGCATCTATCTGCATTATTTACGAATCATGATTTCAAAATATTTTGGAATTAAGTGCATCAGTGTACATATAGATATCTGGTGATAAAATGCACTTCAAACCTTGATAAATATTACATGTAGTGACCAAGGGTAGATATCTGCACATGAAATCAAACACAGGTTTCTCAAATCTTATGCTTTGACAAAATACCAACTGATTTTGAAATCAACAAAGTCAAAATTTTGGGGTTATGTTATCGATTGACATTTTTGCAGATTTTTTCATCATTCCATGATAATAGACACACCCTTTTGTGGTACTTGCTGGAAATGCTAGAAACCAATCATCCGAACATGGTGAAAATGCACAAAGTCCTGAAAGAAAATGATTAGAAAAACAAATAAGAAATGATTAAAAGAACAAATAAGAAATGTATTGGTCTGAAACGGGAAGAATAGTATACATCAATATAGGTTGCATGAAATATTACTCTAAAAAGAATCTTTCATATATCACATAGTGTTACTTAACTATTAAAGTATTAAGATATGATCCAGTAACAAAACCTAAAGAATGAGATGCTAAACCATACACTCTTAACATAATTTGGTTTGACTAAAGGGTACTGCACAAACCATTGAAGTTTATTTGAAAAATTTTCATATTTAAATATAATATTTTCATTAGCAAATAAGAAATGATTATTATCTCACCAGAGATACGAAAGTAAACACCATCCCCTCTTTATATTGACCATTTACTTTTAACATTTCAGCCCCTCTTTTTAACATTTTCCTTCCCTGATGTCCTAATTCTATAAATAAAAGCACATTTTTTATTTTAAATAAATAAAAGAATTGACTAAAGAACAAATATCTTTTTGTAAAGAATTACCAGGCGTATAGATAAGTGTTGAGGGTGTTCTCCAAATATTCTACATCTTTTTTTTGATTGATTCAACATCAAGTATGTTAATCCCATCAAGATAATGAATAGACACAGGTTTTGGGAACAGAGGGGTATTTCTGAAAATACACAAACAGGGTCATACACTCATAGCTATAGTTACATATACTCTTGCACATCGTTTCCATGCTTTGTCAGCTTGTAATCAGTGGATAGAAGGTGGTAATTTGATAAAGCAATTTCATAATAACCCAACACAACACCCTTATTAATGAAACTAAAAGTGTACCTTTAAACATCAACAGAAAAACTAAATAAGAGCATAAAAATCATCAAGTGTTTTTATAGTGTTAAGAGTTAAAACATACACCTTGATTCTCGGAAGCATCTTTTCTTTTTCTCTGGATAATAGACATGATTGATAATTTCGCTGGATAATAGACATGATTGGAACTAAAAGTAAGCATCAACAAAAAAAACTAAATAAGGACATAAAAAATAATCAAGTGTTTTATCGCGTTAAATAAGGACATAAAACCATAGACTTTGATTCTCAAGGCCATCTTCTTTTCTTTTTCTCCACCATATAAGTTCTTTATTTGGTTTCTAAAACCTTTTCATGTTGCAGAGTAATGAATGGAATCTGTCAAAGAACTTGGAATTAAGAATAATAGCAAGTAAAGGAAACTGGTGGTGCACATAATATTTTTAAAATGAATGGAATTTGTCAGATTCCATTCATTTGTTGTTTTGTGTTTATTTTGCAAATCTATCAAATGAATTCAAGTGAAAAGTGAAAAACTATGTTAAAATACAAAAACACCCTTTAGTGATTTTTTCTAATAAAATAATAGAATTGCTATTAATTCAAAACAAATACGACATTAAAAAGGACTTATGAAGGCAAATAAACAATTATAAAAACAATAAAAATCTTTTTAATGAAGAAATAAATAATGGAATTTTGATTCTTCCGTAGGAATGATAAAATCCTATGAATACGGATTTTGGGGATATTTGATGGAATTCATTTCCAATCCATTTTGTCAACCAAATTTGTAACTGAAGGATTTTCTATATTCCAATTCCTTCAAAATTCTATGGAAGAATGAGCAATAATGCACTTTAAAAACTTACATGTAAGATGAATAAATAAATAATGCAATTTATGCCCCCCCAAAAATCAATTTTCAATCTCTAAAATCCTGTAGAAAAAATATTACAAACATAAGTTCACATATTTTTGTAGCAATGACAATCAAAAAACACTTTCAGATATGCAAAATCCGTATGCAACTTTTAGTTAGATCTAAAATACAGTTATACTTCTAATTGAGTTAAATCTACAAACAATAAATTATCTTTCCCTAATTGGAGAAGTATCATGTTAATTGCCTAAAAAGGAATTTGGTAATATGGTAAATTTGATTTAGTACATGTAGTTTGATAAATGGTAATGGTAAATATGATTTCTTTTTTGGAAGTATGTTATTGTCTATGTCACATGCTATTTGGTAGTGTACCTCTAGATTTTCGCGTTTAAAAATGTCTCCAACTGCAAGATTCTGCTTGATTACATTTTCTATACTCTCCCTTTGATTTTCTAAGTACTCTCTCACAGCGTTTGGGCTCGAAAGCATTGCCAACTGTTCTTCATTTATTTTCATGTTCGCCTAAAAGATTAACGATTTAATTAAAAACTTTATAAAAATGTGTCTCAAATTTAATCAAATGTGTAACATATATTTGTTACTAAACCTGTATTTGTAATAGTCTAGCTCCATAAAGCTGTCTTCCTTGCTCTTCAAACAAAGATTGTGGGATTTCAACTTGAATCATCTGGACACAAGTTTCAATATACTATTTTGATTAAACAAAAAAGAGAAAAGGAAAAAGTAAGTTACAACTTTAGTCCCTGTGGTTTGTCAAAAGGTACCATTTTTATCTAGATGTTTCATTTGTTGCACAAGCGGTATCTAAACTCTAAAGCGATTCTTTATTGAATAACTTCACAAAGCATCCATTAAATCCATAGAAAATTACCATTTTACCCCTGTCTAAATACCTTTCGAAGCTGATCAAGTATTGCATTATCTGTTGCTTGATCTTTAGCTGTTTGCTCAAGTTCCACACACCTCTCCAACAATGACTCCCTAACCAAAAAAACATAAGTAAACAACATTTAGTCAGAAGCACGAATCAAATTGTGTAAAAAGTCAAGACATGATTAATAGACAAAGTTTATAACCTGATCGATAGTGGTGCATCCAGTAAGAAGCTTATCAGCAATGGAGTCATTCATCTCTGGTAATTCTCTACAGAAGAGTTCTTTACATTCAACCTAGTGATACATTTGCAAGAAAATTAATATTTGTGTAGATTATTAACAGAATTTGTAAGAGGAGGGGGCTTACTGTAAATTGACAAGGAAGGGAATGTAGATCTTCTTGTTTCCAAGAATCTGGAAATGTATGTGGGAAAGATTTTGTTTCACCTCCTTGAATTCCAATTATGGCATCAAGAAAACCAGGAATAACTCTATCTCCATCTTCTGTATCAAATTGGAAACCTGCAAATTCAACCAAACATTATAATGGATGTAATGACCCATTCCATTCCATTCATTTTAAATCCATTCCCTTCTGATACCATTCCATCATACCTTTACTCTCTGCAGCTGGAACATTTTTCACTTCTAATAATTCTTGTTCCACAAAAAGTAAAAAAAATTTACTACTTTTGAAGGTTAGGGCTGAAACCGCATTGTCTGATGTACACATCGCTTCTAACACCCTTATTTGAGATTCAATGGAACTAAAAGTGTATCTTTAAGCAATAAGATGAAAACTAAATAAGAACATAAAAAGCATCAAGTTTTTTATAGTGTTAAGCGTAAAAACATACACCTTGATTCTCGGGGCATTACCTTTTTGATCAACTTCTTTCAGCTTCTCCTTAATCTGCTTTGGCAACCAAAGAATCTCAGGTATCTGTAAGTTGAACAACTATTAGAAAGATAAACTGATAAGAACATGTATAAGAAGGGAAAACTAGGTAAGTTCAGTCCACCTGTGTAACTTCTGAAACAGAGTTAGCAAAAGCTGCTTTAGCATCCTTTTCAATGGAACATCTCCTTAACTTCATTTGGTACTTACAGGTTAAGATCCCAACATAATCATCTCAACCTAACCAATAACCTAGTTCAAATTTGAATTTTAGGCTTCAACTGATTTTGCAGGCATTTCATCAAACAGATAAAGGTTAAATATTTGGTATGTTACAAATCTCGGGCTCTTAGGGCTTAGATAGCTTCTAGTATTGATGTTCCTTTGGGTTGTTGATGATCTTACAGGGGCACATCCCAAATAGGAAATAGAATAAACATTAGCTAATGAAGTATTCCATGATCACACAGTCATAAAAAGAGATTTGAATAGAACATCATCATCATCTGATAAAATCGGTTATTCATAAGAATGGTGAAAGAATCTGAAATACGTTCTCAAATAACCAACAAAAAAATCATCCAAACACATATAAATTAAGAAAATAGCAATTAATGGAATCTATCAAAGGACTTGGAATTAAGAATAGCAAGTAGATGTGGTGCACAGAATATTTTTTAAATGAATGGAGTTTGTCAAAGGAATTGGAATCTGTCATGTGCATGGTTCACAGGAAACTGAAAGGATTAGATTCCATTCATTTGTTGTTTTGCGTTTATTTTGCAAATCTATTAAAAGTATTGAAATGAAAAGTGAAAACCATGTTAAAAGACCAAAACACCCTTCAGTGATTTTTTCTAAAAAAAATAATAAAACTGCTATTTACTGAAAAAAGAATTTAACTTAAAAAAACAAATACAACATTAAAAAGGACTTATGAAGGCAAATAAACAATTAAGAAAACAATACAAAAAAAAATTTAATGTAGAAAATAATAATGGAATTTTGATTCTTCCCTAGGGATGATAAAACTCTATGAATACAGATTTTGGGGAAATTTGATGGAATTCATTTTCAATCCATTTTCTATGGAAGAATGAGCAATAATGCACTTTAAAAACTTACATGTAACATGATAATCAGAGGCTTCATGGTCTGAAAAGAATACACCACCACATAAATAAATAATTTGAAAATGACAAAAGTTAGACTTTCACACAGTATAAGTAAGCGATAAACTTATGGATAACCTGTGTTTTAACCAGTCCTCTGTCACTTGCTTAAATAAATTTAAAAAAAAAAAAAAAAAAAAAAAAAAAAAAAAAAAAAAACTTTTCTCAGAAAAAAAACTAGCACTTGACTACATGGCTAAAATAGCTAGAAAGTATATTGCAATGACAACTTCATCTTTTTTGTTTTTGACCTGTACATGAATGCAAACACAACTTCATCTTTTTTGTTTTTGTATCATCTGCATATCAGAAAATAAGATTTTAAAACTGAGAGGACATCATAAATACAAAAAATCATGATGCAAACATAAGTCAACATATTTTTGTAGCAATGACAATCAAAAACTGTCTCGATTATGCAAATTATACAGTAGTTGGTCGACAATTAACACACCAATATCATCCCAACTTATTAATTAAACAGAAAACCAACAACTTTATATGCAACTTTCAGTTAGAACCAAAATACACTTGTATTTATTTCTAATTGAGTTAAAAATACAAACAGCATATTATCTTTCCCTAATTGAATCTCTAAAAGCTCAATAAGTTGTTTAATATTTTAATTTGGCTTGTGAATTTCTCTACATAATTTGATCCAATAACGTTTTCACCCTCAAAACAAAGCAAAACAACTCTTTAACTTAATTAAGACATTTCATCAAACACCTAAAGTGCACAGAATAACAATCTACAACTTAACAAAACTTTTTTAAGTTTTCAAAACTATTAAAGTTTTACTAACAAAACCACTTGCTTGACCAATTATCTTTTTTTTGTTTGTTCA